ATATATGTGTGTGTGGTGTACTGGTCCATACAGCCCCTGTTGTGGATAGACAAGTGACTAAGTGACCACAAATTGACCATTAGAGGAGAAGGACGTTACTGTATGAGCTAGTCCACACTTCAAGCACTTTGAGACTTAATTACATTACGCTAAATTACATTACACATTTACAAGTACAAACTATTTCAAAGTGGAGTCTATCACAATATACAGTATTTGTTTATGTAAGCGGATATATTTTGGTGCCTTACTGGTGTATACACTTGATTCATCTGATATCTAAATATGTTAAATATAAAAATATAAGGTAAGTCTACTCAAACATTAGATTCATGTTCAACATAAAGAAGCCAGGAATGTCTGATTGGATTCATCTCAGAGGCTACCTCCTTGTCCACCTCTCCCTCCTCCTTGTCCACTTCCCCCTCCCCCTCCTCCTCGGTGCTAATCTCTGATAATTCTCCTTCCTCCTCTTCCTCAACCTCCTCATCATGCATTGTGCCATTCAGTTGCTGTATGCTGTCAAAGAAGGAGAGTTTAACTAAAACATTTTATTGACAAATTAAAAATATGTGTGCAAGGTCAAAAAGTATTAGAGCAAGACTTCAGATTTTTGCTAGGGATCCTATACAGTGGTCATAAAAATGTTGTGTTGCAATTTAAAAAGTACAGTGATTGAGTTGATAAATACAGATTGCTTAATTTCATGATTTCGTGGCAGCAGCAAGCGTGGGACTCCGTGGCAGCGCCAAAGGTCCTCAGAACCTCATGCTGGTGCCAACATTGATGGGGATTTAGCTTTAGTGGCACTGGGTGTATAAGGCATTTGCTTTTAGTGAAATTGGATTGTGTTAGCTTGGTGACTTTTTTTACGATCTTCTTTATCATTAAAAAAATCTAAACTCTTGGATTTTACTAGTTTATCTACATAGATTAATGGATTGATTGAATTTATTCGATGCTGAATATGCACAAACAATATAAAAATGATTTGAGAACAATAAAAATAAAAATTAATGAGCATCAGGAATGCCCATTAGTTTGAAGTCCTGTTCCAATGCTTTGAAAAAGTCTCCTCAATACATGCAACCTGATTTGCACTAAAGAACTTGCCAAAAAAGATCATATCTGGATTGCTACTCTCTATATTTATTAGCTTACAATTGAAAACTTAATGGAAAATGTTCTCGCCGATTAATGGATGCATAAATAACACCTTTCCTATCTTCTTTTGCATAGACCTAAATTTGCTGGTGATCAATTTAAGGATTTTAGTAGTTTAAAGGTCTAAATGGTTTGTATATGAACTTGGTCTCGTAGTTTAATATTTTTAGAGATCAAGTGAATGTCAATAAAGTTTATCAATTTAAACCTAAAAAAAAAAATTATCAACATTATATTATAGCCAATCAGAATTTAATAATAATTATCAAAATTATGTTATTGTCACGCAAACCTTATTTACTATTATTATCATACTAATTTTATGAAAGTTGACATACATTGTGTGTTTGAGATGTTGCCGCTCCTTGCTCAGATCTTGCACCGTCTGCCGATACTTGTTACTCCTCTCCATCATTCTTGATATTGGTCTCAGCACATCTGTTGCCTTGGAAACAGAAAACATATTTTCATTAAATTTTATTTTACACACCACCAGCAAACACTAAATCACCACAGACCTTGTATAATTGTGGCAACAATTATAAAGGCAAAAAAGGCATATCAATAATTTTACTAAATTCTAGCATAATGTTGATTTATTAAAGGTGTCATCTATGATAAAATTCTAACTGATTTGTACTATTTGGAACATGTAACCTCTTTATTTTAGGCCTTTGTGGAGGTAAAGTACAATAACAATGTTGGACAACTAGGTTTAATACACTATAATTATTGCGTTTTTTAGGCGATAACAATGTATAAGAAGTATGAACACCCCAGGCTACAATGAAACACGCTTAAGATTATCGCCTATGGAAGTGCTGCATGAACACAACCTTTATCACTTTGTTGGACTGTCTCCAACCAAGAGGGTATACTGCAACTGTTTGAAATGCCAATGCATTGATTATTAACTGAACATTATGGATATTCCAAAGGGAGCTGAGTATGTGTTCTTCAGTCAATCTAATTACCAGTGTGATAGTGTGAAGCATTCATATTAAATATGCAGAGCTAAATCTAACATATTATTATTGCTATCATTATACTGAACTGATATACACTTCATTATAATGATAATGTCCTTCAGCATTCTTTCTCTATGGATTTCACTGAATCACCCTCAAAATAGCTATAAAACACATCTGCCATGTTGTTGATAGTAATATTGTACAAATTATATTTATTCCTGGCACTTATACACCTGTGATGAGGGACCTAGATAAAATGCTGTTCCAAAGGACATAGGTAAAAACTCATCCTTAAGTGTGAGGGAATAAACAGATAAGAATCTACTTCCACTGCACTTCGAATTATACACCAGCGAACATTGTATTGAAACAGTGTATTTCATTCCGACTTGCCAGCCATGGCGACAGTACACAATATCCACAGCAAACAATAAAAATCCAAGATAATAAAATCCAAGATAATAAAATTCCAAGGTTCAACTTCTATAGAGAACTCCGTAACACGGTGTAACTTTCGAACGATCGAAAAAGAATGAGGAAGTTGCATGATTGCGGGGCCGCTTGTGCTTGGCGCCAGGGGTCGACTGTTCTATTATTTTCAAGGGGTGTTTCTCGAGAGAGAAAGAATAGGCAATTAGTCGGTTTATCCAGGTAAGTATTCACGAAGTAGACTTGCCTCTCCTATTTGATATTCTTACAGTAGTTATTCATTCTAAACCTTGACAAAAAATTAAAGTATATTTGTATTTGTATGTGAAAATAAAGAAAACTTGAACTTCAAGTTTGGCGCAGCGGTTGAGGTTCGGAATTTTCAATCGTAAGGTCGGGGTTACGAGTCTCTGCTGTGCAGATTCGCTTGTGTCCTTGGGCAAGGCACTTTAGCTACATTGCTTCAGTCCACCCAGCTGTATCAATGGGTACAAGTAAACTGCTGGGACTAACCTGCGATGGACTAGTGTCCCGTCCAGTGGGGTACAACTCTCATCCGCTTCACACTGCAGAAACTGGGGATAAGCTCCAGCCCTATGAGCCCCAGTGGCTCGGAAAGGATTTAGTTAGTTAGTAGTTAGTGAACTTCAACCTTTATGCAAGAGGGTCAGAGTTCAAACCTGCCAACGATGTTTTTCTTGAGTCTTTGATACTATTACCTTGTCCTTAAAATGTGATGCTAAGCTGTTGGTCCTAAGCATAATGACACACAATCATGAAAGACAGAGCTTTGTACACCATTTAAAAAGATATGGATTGTCTCCCAGAGTAATAATCAGGGGACTGTGGCCACTGGATGTCAAGTGGGGTTGTATGTTGATTCAATTCAATTCAATTCAAATTTATTTTGTGTTAAAATTACAATCAAAATTACAATTAAAAGACAATAAAAACAGAAACAAAAACAAAGAGTGCTGCCAACCCAGGATAACCAAAAGTACACAAAAGTGCCACTATCATGTGGCTCTCCAAGGCAGCATTCAACACACAGAAAACAACACAAAAGATATAATATATATCATTTGGAAAAATAAAATATTAAAAGATTGTAATATAAAATATTATTGCAAGGGATCTCATAATTATCAAGTGACAACGATGCAAAATCAGGATCAAACAGGCACATACAGAATTAATAAATCTCAACATTTTCGTTGAGAAATATTTTTGCAAGTTTAATGAAATAGTTGCTCAAGAAAAGCAAGGAGCATCTAACTTCTTCAGGGAGGGAATTAAAAAGTTTTCTAAAATGAATATATGGGGAAAATTTGTAAGCATCGGTACGAGCGAACTTTTCAATAAACTTAAGTGTTGTAACATGACGGCAATTAACTTGAATATTAGTAACATCAACACAATTTTTCATGTAGAGACAATTAATGATAAAAGTTAAATGAAGAATCATGAAACGTTCGTGGAATGATGGAATAGCATATATCTGAAGTCTGTCAGAATAAGAAGGTCGTTCGTTCCACCGCCCGCCAAAGTACGCTCTAGTGTAACGACGTTGGATTTTTCAAGGCTTGAATTATGACATTTTTTATAAGGTAGCCAAGCAGGCACTGCGTATTCAATTATGGGACGGCAAAGAGCAAAAAACAGATTGCGATATGCAAGATTGCCTTAGGGTCACCCAAAATTCTTGCAATAAGTCCAAGAGTCTTGGAGGCCCGAGAAATAACATAAACAACGTGCTTGCTCCAAGAAAGATCAGAGCTAAGCATTACACCGAGAAACTTGTATGATTTAACAGACGGGACGTCATCATTCCCAATATAGTATACTGTTGTAATGGGCTTGACTGACCTTGTAAAATGGACAACATGAGAGGATAGAAATCAAATTATATTCAGTAGACTTTATATAGTTTCTTGCTTTTCTTTATTCTAATCACCATCAATCATATAAATCATACATAAAAATGCTTTCAGTCTCTTTTCTTGTTTTAATTCTTTTCTATAAGATTCTCTTCTCTTCTAAGTCTCCTAATCTTTTTCTAATCACTTCTCTATCTAGTAATTTCATTCTCTATATATGTGGGACCAAATATATAACCTTAATTTACTTCCTGTAGTTGACCCTAAGGTAGGGCCGTAATGTACATGTTGGTACTAATGTGGTTTCCCATGGAATTTAAACATGACGGTGGGTTTCCAAAGCGCCTAATCCAAGCTTCCGGGAAGGGAATTTTAGAGATGGAGGGTTAGACTACCGCAACCCCATGGTTGGGGCTGAGTTTTGAAATTTTATGCCTGTGACATTTCAAGGTGGCCGGAATTGGCACTGTCAAACTTAAACTTGAACGCAATTTTCTTTTGCCCCATTTTTACCAATTTTGGAAGGGGGTCATGGTACAGACCAGTGTTTTGTATCTTTTTAATTTATATAATCTCAAATCAATATATATATTTGCAAGAACAATAATTTCAAGTACTAAAATATATGGTATTTAATAGGGACCTATGTCAACTGTAAAGAAAATGTAATCTCACTGCTACATACCTTGCCATCAATCACTGCTTCTTCAGTATCCAATTTATAACGTTCTATATTTTTCCACATCACAGAGCTTTCACAGCTGTCTGTCTCGTCTCCAACTAAGCTCTTAGCATGAGTAACTGCTGACCTCTCCAGCAATGTCACCAAGTCTGCTTCATTCAGACCAATGCCTTCCATAAGATCCAGGAAAGCTTGGCGTTCGGTACGATAAACCTCCGACAAGTATGCCATTTGTTCGTCATGTCTGAAAAAAACAAAGCGTGATGGGTAAAAGTTTAGTTATGCCCCATGGAGAAAATGCATCATGGGTAAATTTCTCTATGTTTCAATTCAAAATGGTAGTAGGTTTGGTCAGAAGGCTTTTGTTCATGCAGGGGTTTAAGAGAAAAGTAAGCTGGGCCGAAAGATAGCAGCCACGCTGGATACAAAGGGGTTGAGATTCATAAGAAGATGAAAAGTGAATATCACATCAATAAGCTTGCATTTGTAACCTTTAACCTTTTCTGTGATAATTCCTAGTTTCTTACATTCAACATAAAAACATTCTATTCAGATCTAGAAATAAATTAAAACACAGTTTAGTTTATAGGCTTAAAAAGTTAAACAACAAGAAATGTGGTAATGGCAATCATAATATAAACACAGGTAGTTTTATATCTTTAAAGATGTCTTGCTGACCTTTTCTGCATTTCCTCCAGCCCTTTGTAAAGTTTATTGGCCTGCTCCACGACCTCATCCCGACCTCTTTCCATCTTAACAAGTTCCTCTTCCTTTCTGCATAGTTTCTCCATAAAATTTTCCAACAATCCTTCACTGATATTCAAAGTGCTTGTTGAGGAATCTTCCATTTTTTTCTCGGGGAATGCTGCTACCTTATGGTTAGCACTTGAGTTCTCACTAATGCTAGTTGTCCCATTTCTCTGGAATAGAATATTATACAAATTTTTATTAATTTCATAATGATTTACTCGGTGTGCATATTAGATAGCAATGAGTACATAATAAAAATTGCTATTCATTTCAATATGTGTTTAAGTAACAATGATTTGTATGTAAGGAATATTTTATTCTATTCCTTTTTTCAGTTACTTTGATAAAGCTTTTTTTTTGCTTTAGAGATTTAATGTGCCAGCACCACATAACATTAATACTGAAGCAACACAAGTATAGCCACTGGCCACCCCATGCAGATAAGCTTCCTTCCCAGGTGAAGCAGGTCGAGTTTAAAGACCTTAAAATCCACAATATTAATAATCAAACAAAAAGAACAATAAAAAAATTATTTAAAAAAAGGCAAACAAAATATGATTATTTACACAGCATGGTTTCTAACACAGACTTAAAGTGAATTCCAAAGTCAAAATTTCTTCTTATATAATAAATTGTTTATTCCTCACAATTTTTTTAAATTTTTTTAAAATTTTTATTTTTATTTAAAATAAATTTTGCAAGGGAACAAGCATGACTTTAAGCACATCCTTTAAACAATATGTTGTAAGTACATGGTGCCACACAATCACATGAATGCTTACTACTTTCATATAGTTAACATTACAAGAACTCAATACAAGGAGCATGCAAATTTATTTAATATTATGCAAGTCACATATGAATAATGCATGAAAATTCAGCACAATGCATGGTAATGGTTATACTCTATTTTCTAATGGTCTAAACTAAGGTCTACATGCACAAAGGATTTGGTTGAATGAGATTAAAACATGATTATTTTCAAGCAATGAATGAAATTTTAAGCATGTGCAGTGCAGAGCGATGGCGTACACTACCTTGGTGACATAACTAGTAAGCGTGACACAACCAACTCACAGTGACGATCGTGATACGGCTCGCATTTTTCATATTGATTGTGGACTGGCGCACGTTCTCTTCCGGGCGCATGTAGATGATCCAAACTTTTGGAAAGAACATGCAAATGAGCGCAGACATTCCATTGGCAATGAAGCCAATGCTGCAGATGATCGCCTTCGAGTAGCCATTCTTTGTGAACATCGACGCCAAGAAGATGAACCAGATTAGACAACATGTGAGAATTGTGAATGATATTGATCTTGAGTCGTTGAACTGGCCTGGTAACTTGCGAATACGGAAAGCTTGGTACCCGCAGAGCAATGCCAAGATCAAATTATAAACTGAAATTAATAAAATAATATTTTGCTGTTTTGAGCAATCCAATTAAAATTAAGAATATTATTTATATATTTCATGTTTCGAATAACAGACCACCTTTAGGTATACAGTATACCATACTCTCTAATGGTGATAGTCCTAATTGTCTATAAGAGATCTACTTTGTAATTAGTGTACTGTGAGTCTTTTAATGGTAATACAGTACAGTAATGGTGAAGTATTTACTTTACAGTTGAACATGTGTAGTGGAATAATGAAATTTATAAGTCAATTGTAACTATGAACAATTAAGGAATTCCTTGAATCAATCGACCCTAACAAACTGAACGTTTAATAATAATAGTCTAGACCTATTATACAGACTCAAGGAACGAAATTAGATTAAGGCCTATGGCCAGGCAGGAAACAGCAATAGCCTCCTCCTTGTCCTACGCCGTAGCATAGCCTAGTTATGAAATCATCGCACGATTTACCTGTCTGCACCGACCAAAAAGTGACTACTGTATTCTCTCTCAAATGCTTTAGGAAATGTGGCAAAGACAAGCCAAACCAGTCACTCGTCGCAAAAATAAATTTTTAGTTATTAATACAGGTTTAAACAGTAAAATGAAAGCTATAAAACGGTAAAAGAATCATTTAAATATGACATTTCATTATAAAGTTGCAGGAGTTGGAACATAGAGCTGTTTAAAGAACAATATTTGGGAAATCGGCCTTCAAAGTTTATGATTTCGGTAGTTCTCAGGCAGAAACCATCACCAAATCATTGAAATTTTTTGTTTTAACAATGAAAATGGGGAAAATAACAGCATAGGATGATAAATAGATATATAATGGTTCGTTAATTGCTATAAAAGAGATTTCAAAAATGTTGACATTCCTCCATGTTTTGGCCATTATCTCCGAAATAGGATTTGCGACGAGTGACTGGTTTGGCTTGTCTTTGCCACAAATGTTTATTTCTTTTTTTAATTTCTATCAAAATAGCATTAAAAAACAAGTTCTTCTAACACAATTCCATACAAAAATTATTCATCGTATCGGTACTGTACTGCTGATATGTAATTCATGCGTACTGCAGAAGCACAAATCCGCATACACACAGATAAATGTGAATAAGCACACAGTATACTGATCATATCAACTGACCATAGCAACCGATGACTGCTATAACAGTTGGTTATCAAAACTAATGGTGATTGACTTATAAAGGCAATTAGTAGAGCTGCATGCATCATACCTAGCAGAAAATTATTATACTTAGCTTAGATTTAATGCATTCGAAAATTTCCTTCGCGCCATGCAGGCCTTCAGGAAATTTTTTCAAGCATTAAATTTAACCGTTGTATAATAATTTTCCTATAGTGTACTATGCGCAGCTCTATTAATTGCTTAATCTTTTAATACTGCATTAATGACTACTGTTTTTAAAGATATACTTGATCAGTTTTAATGTCGCTTTGTTTAAATTGTAAAATTTTTTGCAAGCTTTGTACTTTGTTCGTTTTTATTGGAGACGATACATTTTATCTTGTGAGGGTTGCAATAAAATTGAAGAGAGGGATGGTGATACAAAAAGGAGGAACATACAATTCAATGGATAAAAATATCATTGCAAATAAACAATATTTTATGTATGTAATGCTAATATTCTATACTTTCAATAATATATAGTATTGAATTACTTATATGATAAAAATTCCAAGAATTCATAAAGTACAGTTACCAATAATAGCAAGAGGAGCTAGGGTATTATGCTTGCATTGAATGTAGGTATCACTTTCTTCTTTGTTTTCTTGTCGCTTAGAAGGAGATGAGTAGATTATCATACCCTGGACAATCACAAGTACCATTACAATAACGACAATAAACATCAGTTGGTACTGAAACAAAGAAAAACAATAACCATTCAAAACAGTTATAAATAGGAATAAGAGCAATTGGATCTGGGGTTACCTGGCCTCCAGGTTCTTACCCTTGAGGTTCAGGTACAGTATTTGAACACTGTCAGTGTTCTTGAGGAAAGACGCTTTATACGTGCTTATCTCTACCCAGTAGTATATATAAATTAACTATTCACAAGAGTGATTTCAATTGAAATAGAGAAAATAAGTTGAATTAAGTGCCTGACTGCAGCAGCAAATTAATACCTTTATTTGTCAACTGATAGATAAACTATCCTGTAAATGAGATTACAGTAAAACATTCATTTTACGAAGTCAATTTTACGAAGGTTCTTTGCCCCTGGTGACCTCATCATCAACCAATTATTACCGTAAAAAAAGTCTGATTGTGCTTGTTTTACCAAGTAATAATGTATATTTTTCTTAATAAAATCAAGTTTGTTGAATTTATTTATTAACAGTTAAATCTTTTCTTCCATTTCTGGTATAACACAGTACACCTAACCAGAACAATGAACTACCAACGCAAGCGTCGTTGGATTGAACGCACATATTTACGATAACGAACGAGAGTGTTTGGTCAGCAACTTATTGACATCGTGAATGCTAGATATGATTGCGAAAAACATGTAAACAACACCATTCAGCGATCTAACAACTAGAAAGAACACGATAGAAAGGTCCATTAAACATACAGATGTTTGAATAGAGAGTTAAAATAATATTTTGTTAAGTGGAAGAATGCCAGCGATTAAAATAATTTGGTTTTTATCGAAGGTAAATTCAGCTAGGTTCTAGCGCGGTAGAACACGCTGCTGCACTGTCGGTTTGTACTAGGCCTGTCAGCCTGTCGGCGCTTAATGGCAGGGGATAGCCAGGCCTAGATATTGGAAACTGTTCTAGTTTACAAATTTTTCAACTTACGAACACCCCTTGGTACCAAGGGGTACGTAAAATAGACATTTCACTGTAATACTAGTTTAAAGCTAGAGCAGTGTGAACACATTGACGAGTTACAATGCACTGCTGTCATCTGAACTGCTTTTAGTGTGTATCAAGCTATAATGACATGAGCAAATGGATTTATTTTCCCTTCAAATGTTCCAACAAACGCATTTCTTACCTTGATGCTGAGGAAAATCGATGGCCTACCATCTGATAATTTTCGATTAAAAATTCTTGAAATGCGGTTGGTCTTCATAAGCAATGCTCCAACGTAAATGGAGAAGCTTACACCCATCGTTACTAAGCGTGCATTACAGATGAAATCTGTTGGCTCCCCGAAGAACAAAAACGTGCACAAGAAGCTGAACATGACCCCAATAATCAGCACATAGCTCAGCTCCGTGCTTGTAGCCTTGACCGTTGGCGTATTGCGATACCTGACGAAGACAGTCAGACACGCTAAGGCCATCATCAATCCCACTGCTGCCAACAAGATGAGAAAAAATGTAACCATAGACGACCATTTAAGGTAATGAACTGTATTTAAGGTGCACTTCGTATTTTCTGTATTCACACTATATCCAGCCTCACACGAACTGCAATAAGACTGCCCAGCTTTTGTTGTGTAAGTTTTATCTGTAAAATCAGAAGAAAAAGAAGCATATTTATAATAAGCAACAATTTTTAAGTAACTATAGTAGTAGAAAATTGACAATATAGTTAGATGGTACTTAGCTTTTGTACTAACTTGTTTTTCACTTCAATCAATAAGCAATGTTGGTAGCAGCCTCTCCTTTTGCTTGTCTGGTAAGATTATCCCCATGCCTACGCCTCTACTATAACATTCCGCTCCTATCCCTTCACCCCCTTCCCATTGTAGCAGCCTCTCCTTTTGCTTGTCTGATAAGATTACCCCCATGCCTTAGCCTCTACTATAACCATCCCCTCATAATATCCTTTGTCCTCTTCTCAATGTATAAATAATACCATTACCTTGGCAATGTTCACATGTCCAGCAGCATGCCAGGTCTTTTCCCACCTTCTGGTACATGCCGGCTGGACAGGATTTTGAGCACCTTCCTGCAGGTTGCTGACCATTATTCTTCCATTGGATTTCTGTCTGTTGCTCCTGGAACCCCTTGTCTGGAATCCACTCAAATACTCTCTGAAATTTCCACTGATTGTCAACTTTCTGCAATCAACCAAAACAAAAGTTAACAGATAAGCATTATAAAAAAATAAATTACATATGAAAATGGTACTCTATGCAAATTCAACACTGGCCACAAAGCACAGCTTGGTGGTATAGTAGTTATGATACCAGATTACTTATCTGTAGCTTGTGGGTTCAGATTTCCAGCTGAATCTCTTGAAATATATCACAATTCATCACTTATCACAAAATTACACCAGTTAATGTACCTTAAATTATGAAACTTACTTAAGTTACATAGTCATTTAAGGTATCTGTAAGTTTTTAATATAATAACTGAAAGTTACCTGTAAGTTCAATATTTTGTATCTAGCATGAGGATCTCCATTTCTGTCAAAGCTAAAACTAGGATTGGTAACACCGTTAAACGAGACATTCCTTATGTATTCAGCATAACTCTGGTAGTCTCCTTGAAGAGATCAACAAATAAATCAATATCGTACGTTAATACTCAGAGTCAGTGGCGGCTGTGGCTGTCCAATTGGGGGGGGGGGACTTAAGCCCCCTTGCCCCAACTGGTGCCGCCACTACTCATGTAGTGCTGAAGACAAACCTGGCTAAATCCACCTCTCATAGAGCTTTCTACAGCATTGCACCATCTCTATGGACTACACTACCTTTTGGTAAGAAGACTCTAATTAAGTTTGCCTCCCACACTCAAACAAGAATTTCCCAATGAAAAACATACAAATTCATAATATTTGCATGTATTTACTATGTTTATTATCAATTTTCTCATGGATGTTTATTATCAATTTTTCTCACCGATGGTTATAACTATGTACAGAAAATAAAAAATAAGATCTGTTAAGCATGCTCCTCATTAAGCCAGATCTCCCGAAAGTGAATTATTCCAACTTGGGACCCCTCTCCCCCCCCCCTCATTTTGCCACTAAATTTTAAAATTTCAAAGCATTGATGAGGGCAGGAGTTGCATTCTGTCTCTTATACACATCTAGATGTGTATAAGAGACAGGGGACCCCTGCTTATTAGCTAAGTAAAATCTTAATGTTGCATAGTTTCAATTGAAAATCATACCATCTTTATTTCTATACATATCATCCAAAGCATATGCAAATGCATAGACAGCGTCCATGATAAATGCTGACCATACGTCAATCTGGAAGGTGTCATTACGGGTACATAAACGCTTAGTTGTGGAGTTGGTAAATGCGCAATTATAATGGTGGGCCAAGGTGAGTTTATAGAATGGGTTATCATGAGTAAGTGGATCAATGCTCAGGAGATACCTGTCAAGAAAAAGATTAAATTACAGTAAAAGATAATTAGCTAATCAAGATTATTCAAAATATATTTTTAAAGAGTAACACTGCATAAAATTAAATAAAGTAACAAATTTTGAAATGTGTTAAAGTCCCTCAACCCTCATTTTAAACTTGATCAAACCAAGCATATCCGATGTCAGTTTCATATTTTATCTAAGTTTTATTGTACTTTTTAATAGATTTTATGTAAAAGACTATCACAATTGAGTTTTTCTATAACTGAAAGTTTTTATTAAATATACAATTATGAAAACTTACTTCACAAAATCGTCATCAACATCAGACATTGGAAGAACTCCCAGCATTCCTTCCACAACACGTTCATATCCTTTAATCAATTGATCGTTCTTTGCCCACGAATCACAAGCTATCCATGTTTTATCAGTCATGTTCTGTTTCTTGGATTCCTCAAGGATTTTCGAAATATAATCCTTCCCACAGAAAGTGAAAATAATCTGAATTGAGAAAAAAAATATTTTCAGCTCAATAAAAGATATTGCAGTATATAACTTATCAATTATTTCATCTGGTTTCAATGTATTGTAAAGTATGCTATTCTTCTTCAGCGTACAGCACCATACCTTTTGAGACAATGCGACTTAGCCTAGGCATGCCACTACTAATTGGCTATTACTTAGTAGCTAACCAGAGAGGCCTAGCCTAGGTTGTGTCATCAGTTTCTGTGGTTATATTTTATCGGATGGTCAATGCATACGTAATAAACTATTGTTTGCGATAATTTAATTACAATTCTCCCTGACGATTACATGATGCACTGTAGGCCTTCGATAGCCAAGGCTTTTTGAACGGAATTCTCATTACTTCCTATTTTCATAGCCATGCATGATCGTGTTAGCTTGAGTTGCGCAAAGAGTTTGACTTTTCCCATTCCTATTTCATACCCTCTTCGCAGATGCTGTTTGGTTCCTGAGACGCCTTATTGGCTCAACAACGTCACTTACTCAGTGCACATGCTCATTTGCTGTCATAGCATTTCCAACGCATGCTCACTGTGTTTTTATACATATTTCACAGACGTTCTTTGGTAGCTGCGTCTGCGCATTCATTAGCTTGGAATTCTCATTCCTTCGTAGTAAAAGCTATCGCTACATGCAGTTTCTTAATGACTGTTTCCTCTTGATCATAGCAGCCTAAATGTGTGGCGTGAAAAATTGCTTATTAACGAAGAATTTTCTTTCACTAATGCAGTACATACAAATAAATTGTAATCCAACCTTTCAAAATAATGATGGCGGAATTGTAGATTCTAGATGGTAATTGTGAATTAAACCCTAAATAAAACCATACAGGTAGTTCAAGGCTGTGGTTTTTACTGAGCAATCTCATGCCTCTACATTTCCTTATTCCAGGTCAAATAAATTGAAATTACCATTGACTTTCCACATTCTTCCAATATTAAGAAATTGGGACCAATGAGAAATGGTCAGAAATTGAACAGTGTTTGCTTAATGCCTCTTCACACTTAGATTCCTTATGACCCTTGACCCCAAGACAGCAAAAGAATCTACACTCACCTCCGCTTTGCTATTATTCAATTTTGTCACTACTTCCTTGGCTGTCTTCTCACCATTAAGAATCAGGCTTTCGCTCACACAGATATTGGCCTCCTGCAAGTTCTTTTCCAATTCTTGCCGGCCTTCAATACCATAGTTGTCATTGGAATAAATGATGGATACAAGATTCCATTGGTATTTCTTTGCAATCTCGGACATCACAAGGGCCTGGTGTTTGTCGGATGGGACCGTGCGAAAGAAGTAAGGAAACCGCATCTTGTTGCTAAACTCAGAAGCTGAAGCTGAATAACTGATTTGTGGAATCTTAAATAAAGCTGAAAATAACAAGTAGCGACTAAGTGAGAGGGTAACTAGGAAATCGAAAGCAAAAGTGTCACTAATCAATTATCTATAGTCTCTTTTCAGTGTCTTGAAGACAACGGACCAAAAGGGAAAATAATTGCCTCGGTTTACATTCGCTAAAATGACTTACTCAGTAGATCAGAGACTGCTTTTGATGTGGAACTTTTGCCAGTTCCAACAACTCCAATAGTTTTAGGTTCACCGGAACAAGTTTCAGAATCTTCCACAGAACTAACGTCTATAAAATTTAATGTTTGCTGTAGTGACAAGAGATAACAAAAATTACATTAGTTTTGCAAAATGACATTTAGTTTCACTGAATAACTTTTCATTTCAACTTCACTATTGACATTTAACCTCAACATGTCTACAATATACAACAGAAAACTTTTCATGGGTGCATTAAATCTCTCGAAATCAAAAGGAAAAATATTAGCACACAGTATTGCCCTCCAGAATTGCTGCCCACTACAACAAGATAACTTTATTGTTATGTACAACATAAACTACACTTAAATTAAATTACACTTAAGTGCTTGTAGCACTTTAATTCAAATATCCACTTCCTTTTACTGTACGGCCTTCCTGAGGCAAAACCATGTAACTGACATTTTTGTTGATTTCGAAATATCATTTGGGAGTATTAATTAAACCCTTGTGAATACCTATATGAAAATTTCAGGTCTCAACAATAAGTGGTTTCGGAGATAGCACCACCTATCTTTAAGCACCAAAATCTAGTGATGTTCCATGGTAAAACAATGTAACTGCCAGATTACACGGCAAAACAATGTATCTACGATGAAGATGCGTTATTTTGCCTAGGAATGGAATTACAAAATTATTTTGAGCTGATGGAGTTTGGCACAGCAAAATCAACGAGTTTTCATATAAATAATCTTAATGACAACGTATGCACAAGCTAGATAAAGCATATGATTGCCTCAGATGTGAAAAAATTAAAAAATGTCATACTTGCAACAATATGCATGCCTGACATTTTTCCGAGGTAAAAAACATATCTGTAAATATCGTTAATAAATTTGCAATAACCCAACGATTGTAATTAAAATTTTACAAATTATAATGTAATAGGTACATAGTCTTGCAAAATCTCAGAAGGGTATGACAATTTATTGCCAAGTTGCATACATGCAACCTTCAACTCTATTTTTCTTGAAAGGTGAAAATTTCAAGTTTCTTATAGCAAAGTAACAATCTTCACTTGGGCATTATTTGTTTTTTATTTCTTCAATAGGAATTCTCAGGTGGCATCAATAGGTGCATTTTTTGTAGTTGAATAGTAGTACAGAAAGGGCACATAAAAAAATTATTAGATTATCACTCTTTTTAAAAAAAAAATTGATGAGGGCAGGAGTTGCATTTGAACGACTGCAATGTGATTCAATGACCTATCCAAAACTAGGCTTATATTCCGGTGAAAAAATAAGACATTACTTGAGCATCAAAAAGTCAAGGGAACACTCTAATTGTATATAGTAGGTGTAGGCTTTGGTCTTTACCTTGAGCAAGGCCAGCCTCTGCCTAAACTTTCTTTGTTGATTTCGTAGGTTAGATTTTGCCCAACCAATCAACATTGGAACATGTGAGTCTTCATGCTGCTGTGAACCAACAATCTGATCAGCCCACCGGGCGGGTCTTTTTATGGACGGACTGCAGTGTTGTCTATTTTTAACCGCACTTAGCGAGCTGTTTATTTTTAGCGACAGTAAACCAATTTAAATAATGGGCTGCCAAATTCGGAGCCAATTCCTTTATTTTGTGAGCATTTGTTTTTTGCAAAGTTGTTTTTATACAGTTAAAATAAATGATGTGACTAAAAATATATAAATAAAAAAATAAATAAAGTTATTCCCGCATCAATATTTCAAAAATTTTTACGCAGACGAGAGAAGCAATCCAATAAATTTTTCTATTTGAACTAACAAATTCCAGTCAAACGCTCCCCATGCAAACGGTAATTCATAAAAACTTGCTCCTTATGCATGTCCCACTGACAAACACACTTATACTGTACCTGTAAAGCTTGTGTGTAATCTGAGCAATCATCTCGGATTTCATATCCAAGCGTCGTATTTGGCAGCACACTTACATCCTTATTGATAACACTGATGGCATATATCATACTCTCTGTCCACATGCCTGACTTTGTTAGTATCTTCCCACAGAGCACATCATCATCGGGAATGTGGACAGGGAAGAGGCCTCCGATAATTACATCTCCTTTTAAATACGCCATTTCATCCTTTTCTTCATCTTTTACACTTCTATCGAAACGTTTGTGAATCAGTTCTGTTTCATTTGTATAGGCAAATGTTACGAATGTACTGCTACTACTAGGCATAGGCCCAGTGCTACTGAAGTTAGAAACGGAAACTACGTCTAGGCCTAGGTCCCCGTCTAGGTCTATATCAAGACTTAGTCCGCCCTCATCAGAAGACGGTAAGTTGGGAGGAAGCCTGCCATCTCCACTGTTAGGCCTAGCACTCTCCTTCTTACCAATCCAAAGAATAGCCACACAACAAGGTATGAATATCAACAACACGACACTTCTTACTATTACCCGCATTACGTTGTATTGTTTCCGTGCTGGCAAAACACACGCCAACATCAGATAAATACCCTTTACAATAACATAATTTCGTAGAAAAAAACAAGCCTGCGTTTACTGCCGAAACAAAACATCAACCTCCCACCTGCGTAGCGATTGTATTTACATGCATCAAACCGTCAACACGCGTCAACACGCTACAGCAAACGTCAACTATTAGCGTCAACGTTGACGTCGCGGATTTTGTTATCCCACCACACCAGAAGGGACACAGGCAACTGTGGACTATCCTATTATCATTTGAGCTGGGTATGTTAGACCAAAAAGGTAGTTTCTTCCTTAATTACATTATTCATAAGCCAAACTTAAGACAATAAATTATTTTTTTCTTCAAATGTGTATCAAATACAATAATTTGAGTGTAGCTTTTAGTTTATGTTTTTACAAAATTGGAATAGCCTAGGCCTAGGCCAAGTTCAAAGTGTAGCACATAAAATAAAGATGTCTGCGCCCATGATGACTTTCCCTTTTCAGAGTAAGAAAGTAGCATGCATGATATCTGACTGGAATTACGGATCGTCTTAATATCTCTGTTTTTTTGGTTTTTTTTAAACTTACGTTAGATATGCCAGCCAGTATTATTGGTTACAATAGGAGTTGCCTTTTGTTTTTGTTTTTTCCAGCGCATTGAGACTTCGGTATAATGCGCTATACCAAATCCCACTACATTACATTACATTACCTGTATCTGAAATCATATAGTTGTTTGTTACTTAGTTAGTCTTGGCCTCGCTCGGGCTCGGACGGAGAGGCCCTTTTGCCTAGTAGTAAATGCCTAGCCTTAGTTTAGCTAGGCTACTTAAGGCCTAGCCTACTTACTGTACTTAGGCCTTCTGATAGGCCTAAGTACTACACCAACTATGCTAGCCTGCCTAGACCTCTTTCTAGCCTAATTGGATGTATGCCTGCTGTGCAAGTAAAATAAGTAAGGCCTTCGTGTGGGGAATAAGGACTTTAACGTTCATGTCGATTTTGCCGAAAATTAGGCTTTGACCTAATATTAAGGTTTCTGAACAAAACGGCAAAAAACCAAAAAGACAATGACCAAAACGGCAGTGACCAAAACGGCAATAAATTAAAACGGCAATGATAAGTACCAAAACAGCAACAGACCAAAACGGCAATACTACCAAAACGGCAAAGGAGCAAAAGTCAATGCCAAGAATGAAGCGCCACCGGGCCCGGGCAGCAGTTTATAATTTTCTGAATCATTTTTTTTTTCTTGTTTTTTTTTTACACATCCATAACAAATTATTTTGTTATTTTAAAGTGTTTTTTATTATTATTATTTTTTTTTCTTTCCATTTTTTACTTTCGTATTAGCCTCATATTATCTGTATTTTAAGGTTCTAATTACTTAAATGTTCCCTGGTTTTATATTGTATATATTACATTGTGTTCCCCCAATCTTTATTACTATTGAATTTGTATGTTGTGTTATTGTTGTTAATCCTATTATTATTATTTTTTTATTATTATTATTATTATTATTATTATTATTATTATTATTATTAATTTTGTTATTCTTTAAAGTGTTTTTTTACTTTTATGACATAAATTGTTTAGCCTCATTTTGTCTGTATTTTAAAGTTTTAATTATTTAAATGTTTACTGCTTTTATATTGTGATTCCCCCAAACTTTTTACTATTTAATTTGTATGTTATACTATTATTATTATTATTATTATTATTATTATTATTATTATTATTATTAATAATAATCATTGTACACTTTCATGTTTATAATTGGGTTTTATGTAGTGCCACATTGGAATTAAGTTTTACTTCTTAACTTTCATAGACCATCCTTGCATCATCTTTTATTGTAATATTTTTTGTCCTGCCTTGTGCAAATTTTATCTGTTCTGTACAATGTTTCGATGATGAGAACTGAACTGATGATGTACCAAAATAAATATTGAACCCGAATGGTCTGTTAATTTTATTTGAGTTGTAATTTTTTTGTTATTAGTAACAGCAGTTAAAATAAAATCATCTAACCGATGTAAATACGAGTTAACACCACCTTAAAGTTCATAAATAAGGTGCGAAATCAAGAGGGGGATTTTAAAGGTAACACTCATGGAATGTTACTTTCAATAAACTTTTAATTTTAAAAAAGTCGTTTTAAGCATACTATTGTTGATTCGGTTCAATTATTAACTGTGTTGCCTACAGTTTATAGTCAACTGGTTTTGACTTATTGCCGTTTTGGTCTTGCCGTTTTGACTTATTGCCGTTTTGGTCCATTGCCGTTCTGGTCTAAAAGTGTTACCGTTTTGTTTTTTTGCCATTTAGGTCAATGCCTTTTTGACTTATTGCCGTTTTGAATTTTTGCCGTTTTGACCTGTTCCCAATATTAATATACCAATGTGTATAATATGCAGTACTTACGATTCTGCAGACCTATTTTCCTAAGGATTTTCTGTGTAAATTTGAGCTAGTTCTTGAGTTATCATCCGTGCAATTAAAAAACAAAACAAACAAAGAAAGAGTATGCCTAGGCCTCCTTCTAGCTAGGCAGGTAGTCTATTTATTTATTACGTCATATTCCACACAAAAATCACATATCAGGAAATGGCCAGAGGGATGCCATGAGGACAACATGGGCTGAGAGTCCAACACAAGATGTGGGTATCCTCTAAATCCCCTGGTCAAATAAGCATACAATAAATTATAAAACAGCACAGAAGCAAACACGATAGACCTAAATAGGTCTGGAAATAGAGTAGCTAATTTACTGTGCTGGTGTCAGGTCATTTTGATATCTACATAATAGTAACCCTTCCTGGCAAATCGATGACAATTTCCAAAGAAAAACCTATAGTATGATAACTCAATTTGTTAAGTCCAGCTCAGATGCAATGCTTTGTATTGCATTTCATTTTTATTTCATTTTTTAATAACTATATATCTTTCTTAAACTCTCACTGTATTTATAAATATTCATATTATATTTTTTTATAATGGTGCTATGCAGTAGCAATTATACTTTGTCTTTTGAAACTTTCTTACTAAACATATTTTTAAATATTTAAAATCAGTGTCAGTTGTTAACATTCTTGCATAGTATTATATGTGCTTTTGTTTTTATCGATGAGGGAGGGACTGTTTATATTTGGCTAGTAATAATAGTAAATACAGTATAAAAACTGATTTAATTTTATAGTTTTTAAAGAAAATGTATTTGACAAATTGCATTGTTATTTTTATGCTGTTGAATTAATTGATGCAGCAAAAGAATTTATTTTTTATTCCCGCATCAATATTTCCCGAATTTTTGATGCAGGCAGGAGTGATAATCTAATAAATTTTTCTATTTGCCCTTATTCCAAGTTTGTAAAGTATTTGATATTGCTTGCCTTATGACAGTCAATGGAATTAGAATTTTCTTACATTTCAGGTTAATTGAGAGGACATAACAGAGGGATATGGCATCAAATAGGAGGTTCATCCACAGTATAAAATGTGCTGGAAAATATCTTTTGCATCCACACAGAAGAGGAAGATGGATTGCAAAATCCAGAAGTGTTGTCACCTGGTCGCCTTTGGCTTCTGCCTTCAATTTGAAGACAAAGTGGAAAATTAATTTTGGAAAGTCAAATGTGGTAAGATAAAGTAAAGCATGCGTGTACAGTCTCTATACGAGGCCCACCCATGAAGAACTTAGGTGCAAGCCAACATAATCAAACAACTGAAGCTATCCAGTACTAACAGTTTAGGCCTGCAGCCACACTGGTAGATTTGTTTAAACTAGTGCTGAAATTGCTGTTTAAATATACAGCAGAAGCAATTTCAAATATAGAATGTAATTTTTACACATATATACTCTGTATGTTCACCATTGAAAGTATGAGTTTAACATACTACAGTTATAGGTTTGTGTCAATTTATCTATTTTAATTGTTATTTTTTTATATATAATCTTCAGTATAACATACTGTATGTATACCTCTACATTTTCAGTAAGACCTACCATACTGTAATATTCTATTATCAAACTAATGCTTAATTTGACAATTCATGTTACAGTAACATGAGTTCTGAGCAGTAGCATGTTAAATTATAAATGTTGGTTGGTTTCTAATAATATTGATGATGGTAACAATGCAAGGCAATAGTGTGCACTTTATTGAATAGTATGATATCTTTATTGCAAGTGATCTTTCCCTTGTTTTCTTAGGGTTTGTTTGAAATGCCAGAACTGACCTCTCCGACAGGTTTCAGTGAAGCCCAGGTGAAATGCATCAAGGAAGCTGAGGATCTGGTACAGGAGGCAATAAATTCTCCCACAAGTCCTCAAATAGTGAATATTTTTGACAAATTGTCTGATACGCTGTGCCGTGTAGCTGATTTGGTGAGTCACTGGCTACAAGTTCATCTGGCTAAAATACTATTTTTTTAAAATTTTCTTAACAATCGGCCCACCAAACACGGAGATCTCCATGTTCTGGGTTTTTTTAAAGAGTCCGATAGATGGGGTAATTAGCGTACTGACAATTTGAAAACTATATTCATTCTGGACCGTAAGTATTTCACTATTTGTTTGTTTACATTAGCATAGAGCGGTATTGATTTCTTTCACGAAATCATGATTATCTCAGCTTTCGTTGTGCAAAGTTGCGTAAAAGTGAGTCATTTTCATTTTACTGTTACGGGTCACAGATTGTAATTAGAATAAAGTGTTTGGTACCATTGTAAACCTAAAATGTTGTAGTTCTTGTGGTATTCACTACATGTCAATCTGATCACATACGCACTCTCAATGAGCTTCGGAAAAGTGTTAAAATTTGCTAATTTGGCGGTGGCTGATACTATTTTTTTCAAACCCCTGGGTTTCAGAGTGTTAAACACTGATATTAATATATAAAAATGATAAATAGTTGTTGAAAAGTATGTTGTACATTGGAAAAAGTACTTTTGGTAATGAAATAATTAAAAAATATATTTTGTCATTTCTGTGAAGCTAAAATATAATATCTTGGATAACAGAAAAACATTTTGTTCGTTTACATTTTGTAAATGTAGTTTCCCTAAATTTTGCAAGAAGTGAATTTAAAAGACTTAAGCTTCTGTTAGATTATATTTAAGGGTTGGGCTGAAGAAAACATCAAAAGCCACTGGTAAACCAAATTTACTAGCCTCCCCTTAAAGCTATTGAAAATTGAAATTCTTTATTGCAATCAATTAAAACATGGTGGATAAAGCTTATGTAATTAATACTTTCATTCCTTTTTCAGGCTGATTTTATTCGGCTAGCTCATCCTGACAATAACTTCGCACAAGCAGCTGAAGATGCCTGTATGTCAATAAGTGCTCTGGTAGAAAGGTAAATTCCATATATCCATACACATTATTGTCAGCCTACCAACAGCAACACTACTGTATATGAGCTTGCCTTAAGCAATCATTTGGCTTAAACTGCACTTGATCACCAGTTGTAAATAAATGTTAATAATTCAGATCACATTGTCATATTATTTGGTTATTTATTCTTTGCCCTTCAATATTGACTAAAAAATATGACTTTGAGATCACTTTGTTATGATGCTGTTTATTTATCTATTATAGTTTAAGGCTTTTACAGTACAAAGCTGACTAACAGAGGTTTTCTAAAGGGCACATATTTAACATTTCCAAATGATTTTGGATATTATTTTTGCTCATTTCCACCAAAATGGCAGAACTATTTTTGATACTAAATTTTCATCAAATTCCTCAAAGACTCAACACAAATGTGGAGTTACACCAGTCAATCAGAAGGTTGCTAGACTCCAAGGAGGTCATGGGGTCAATGGATGAAGAATCGAGAAAGGTCGCTGAATTGTTCTTGTTTGATTTTGAACAAAGTGGAATACACTTAGATGAAATAAAGGTTAGAATTCAAAAGATGTTTTGATTTACAAGATAAAGGTAAAGGTAGGAGAATAACCCATAACTTGCAGCGTCATTGTGCTGAAATGTGTACGGACGTGGTCCGTGATTACCTAGCAGCCGTAAAGAGGCGCTTCTTGGTAGATACATGTTCACATCATTCCACAACGACAAGGACTGAAATAAACCATAACATCGGGGTAACCCCCTACTCTTCCAAAAGATGCAATGGGTTCTTTAAAGTGCACACGAGCCAGATGTATACACTGGACCTCCATTTTAAGTCCTTATCTGAGAAGACTTGGTTCTACCAACCGAACCATGGGCGAGGAGCGGCTGGAACCAGCGCCGATGTTAATGCTATAGCTAGCGGCGCCCATGCCTTACCGCTCGGCCACTCAACTCGCCATGAATGCATAAATGCACTAATACAATTCACCCTCCAATTCTAGGCCCCCTTTGGGACTTGAAAATCTGGGGTTGTCTCAGGGTTCAGTTCTCACATAGAGGGTTAGCTTGGTGTTAATAGATTGAAGATTGTTAATTTGTTCTTTAAAAAAGTGGTCTCGAATTAGAAGGGTCTTGAAGTTAGAAGTGTGATGAATTGGAGGGTTCACTGTAGTGCACTAATGATAAATGTTATAATTTATACATGCACAATACCTACGTTTTTCTCCTTCCAATCGAGTACAAGTGGGTGCCTGGTAGAAGCATTGTTGGCATAAAGCGCTATAATCACTAATATAATGATGAACCTGATTTAACGATAATAAAAGTATGAGAATAATAATTGATTGGTAAATGTTCAAAAAGAGGCTTCATAACTAGAGCCTAACAAGGAACAACACGGAGGACGACTGCAAGGACAGATGCTAGCGTGATGACATAGCAAGCTTCCACAAACTAACAATAACTCTGATAGGTAACTTATACACTTTTATTATTAATGACAGAGTTAGGGAATAACTTCTATGCAATTTTAAACAAACTTGTTTTGCTTTTGATTGATATTTTTTATAGAGGTTAAAAGCAGTTAGTCTGAATGAAGATATCTTAGTTCTTGGTAGCCAATTTATGCAGGGTACTCAGATGCCGACAGCTGTACGTAAAGATGAACTTCCTGAACATATTCGCCACTGTTTCCCAGTTGATGGTCAAAATGTGATGATTAATTCCCTTCATGCAGAAAATCCTAGTGACTTGGTGAGTGGCTTATTATATGCAACTTTTTGTCATTACTAATGATATTCATTTTATTCATTCATGCCTCTTTAAAATTTAACCATTGTGACGTATCAAGTAAACTGTCATGGTAGAATATTAGCAATTTGTATAGACTGTTGGTAAAATAGTGACACAAAAGAGCCATTAGTGCATGAGAATAATATTGCATAAGACCTGCATTAGCCTGGGTTCCAGGCCCTAAGGTTGGGTTACTCGCACTTTATTGCACTTAGTGCGCACCATACCAAGTTTAATTGGCGTCCCATACTCAATTTCTTTTTTTCGGATTATTCCGTCTTTAAATTAACTTACTTAGTGATGGTGCTGTCCAGAATGAGAAAAATATTTTAATAAAAAAAAATTTTTAGAAGCACTGTACCATAAAAGGGACCTCTGGCAAGTTTATATTGGAGAATGAATCCTAAAGTCTTTCTAATGTATTCTATCGGATTATGACCGGTTGAGCCGCCGACAAGTTGAGCCGCCGGTCATTTCTATGGAACGCCAAGCGCGCTTAAAAGGGACTTCTGGCAAGTTTATATTGGAGAATGAATCCTAAAGTCTTTCTAATGTGTTCTATCACAGTATGTTATAGCAGTATAGATGAAGCCTGATGGTAACTTTTATGATGGTTAAACTGATTTATTTATAGATTAGAGAAGCTGCTTATAAGGTGTTCTTGTACCCAAATCCAACTCAGAGCACCCTTCTAGATCAGCTGCTTGAGGCAAGGCATAGCCTAGCCAACCTGGTAGGATTTCAAACGTTCGCCCATCGAACGCTACGTGGTACCATGGCAAAGACTCCTGAGAATGTGATGGAGTTTCTGATGTATCTTGCTGAGCACTTGTACCCAAAAGCAAAAAAGGAACTGCAGTTTCTTGAAGGTGTCAAGAAATCCATCAACAAATATAATAACCAGGTAAGATAAAAGAAGAAAGTCAATAAAAGAGTTTTTGATTTTCCATTGAAATACTAAGATGACAAATATATTAATTTAACAGCCACCATGCTAACATCACAATTAATATTGTAAATATCATTATTAATAAAAATGATAAGGAATATATGTTTTATGGTTACAATACAACAATTAACTTGTTTTGTTAAAAGACTTTTAATGATTATGGTTGTTGCTCCTGTTATTTTTTTCTGTTTTTGTTGTTGCTGTTGTTATATTTAAATTACCAAGTAAGTGCTTACAATTTTTTTTGGGTAGCCTTAGTGCAAAACTTATTCGAGAGTGGCATTATTTTTTGAATGGTGTTCCTCATGTTACTATGGCACCCTGTGTTGTACATAGATCGGCCTGACTCGGTCTGCATGAAGTTCAAAATATCTAGACTTGCAGGGTAATAGCACACTTGATTAGGTGCTACAATGCTTCAATTGAAAATAGAACTTATAAGAGTGCAGTTCTTGGTAAAAAAAATTAGCATTTGTGCATCGCTTAGTCCATTATTTATGGTAATTATTTTATTATTGTTACTGCTATTAATTTTTAATAATAGTATTAGGAATGAATGAGGACTCAATTTTTCTTACAGGAAATAAAGCAGTGGGACCCATCATATTATATGAATATAGCAAAGAAACAAAAGTAAGTATGTTTTTTATATTGTATTACTTCCTATTGATAATTTTTTTTTTATTTTACCTGTTTTTACATATTATTATTATTATTTAGAATTTATTATTTTTATTTTCATAAGATATACAATTAAAACAAGAATAGTTTTAGACAATAGAAATATTGATAGAAAAAACCCAACCAAATGACTGTTGTTACTTTTATGTTGAGGTTGTTTGTTTTTCTTACTATTAGGATTGCTATTGCTATTATAAATATTATTATTATTTATTGGATCTTGTTATTATTTATTATTTTATATTGTTATTACTATATATTTATTATTTGTTTTCACCATAAATTTATGAATTGTAGGTTTGACGTTGAAAATATAGACCTAACTCACTACTTCTCTCTTGGAGCGTGTATGGATGGATTAAACCTGATCTTTACCAGCCTCTATGGGGTTAGCCTAGAGAGTGTTGATCCACAGCATGGTGAAACCTGGGCTCAGGATGTCAAAAAACTAGTATGTGTACCATTAAGCTTGGTTTCCATACAATTGCTACACGCTATCACCGTCAGCTTTCTGTCATGTTGATTGGTCGGTTGAATCGGGAAACCTTTCTGATTATATCGGGGACTGCTACAAGGATTGCACAGAAAACACTGTAGTCTGAGTGTAGCGATTTTAATGAAAACCACACATTGGTGTTGTAGTGCTACTAGGGGTACCATCAGTGTTATGTTTATGATTATATTGATGGTGATTTATTATCAGTTATAATTTAAATATTTGTATTCATTTTATTGTCATTTTAGGCCCTGTCAATACTGTCAAATTTTACTTGACAAAAACATGTGACATGCCTATATGGTCATGATGACATCACATCATGACCATATATAGCCACCTCATGACTATATATGGGCATGATGACATCACATCATGACCATATATAGCCACCTCATGACTATATATGGGCATACAGCAGTTGTTTGTCAAAGAAAATTTGATAGTATAGACAGAGCTTTATTTTATTATTAATAAATTCATCACTCTTTGCCTCTCTGTGAGTCAGGCTGTTTATCTGTCTGTGGGCCTGTTTCTGCCGAGCAAAAAAACATTTGTTTTTAAATGGTTATTAAAAAACACATGTTTTTCCCCAGTAGAAACGGGCCACAAAACTAAACACGGTTAGGAATGCGTTCTAAAAATGTGTGTTTTTACACGCATTCGTTAAAGGGTTCGCGTTCAGAAAACGTTTGTTTTGTGGTACAATTTTCAGCTGCAACGCAATACCATGTTAGTCATGACCCGTCGATGACCCAAGTTGACCTCTTCGTTGGTTTGACCGCTCGTCCTCGGGAAATTCGGGGTGAAGAAAAAATTTAAACCAATAGGATGACATGCTTGAAGATCATACCATACTTTTTTCATACTTTTGTGGTGTGTTCGGCATGCGCTGTAGCTCGCAAAAGTAAGGTCAGCTTGGTGGCCGTCATTTAAGCTCCACCCACCTAACAATGCTCGCATTACCATGTTTTTATTAGTTGCACTTTTCACTAGAAACACGTTCAGAAGGAATTTAATCGTTTATGAAAAACATGTGTTTTTGGCATTATTCAGCCAAAACACACCCTAAGTGTCAGGCTGTTTATCTGTCTGTGTGTCGGGCTGTTTATCTGTCTGTGTGTCAGGCTGTTAATCTGTCTGTGTGTCAGGCTGTTTATCTGTCTGTTAATCTGTCTGTGTGTCAGGCTGTTTATCTGTCTGTGTGTCAGACTGTTAATCTGTCTGTGTGTCAGGCTGTTAATCTGTCTGAGTGTCAGGCTGTTAATCTGTCTGTGTGTCAGGCTGTGTGTCAGGCTGTTAATCTGTCTGTGTGTCAGGCTGTTTATCTGTCTGTGTGTCAGGCTGTTCATCTGTCTGTTTAGTAGGATCATGCTAAAACTAAATGGATCATCATGAAGTGAATAGAAATATTAATCTAAGGAAGAGGCGATTAAATTTTGGTGTGAAAATATCAAAGGCCACTGTCACACAAATTTTAAAAACATTTTGTGAAACTTCTTTTCGAGTATAAAAGAAAAATAATGTAGTCGCCAATAAATATTCTATGGATTGGCTGCACTCTAGTTGCTATTGTTATTATTATATTTGTAAATGCTATTATTGTTAATCTTGTTTTTTTTTTTTCTGTAGGCTGTTATACACGAAACGGAAGGTCTGTTAGGGTACATATACTGTGATTTCTTTGATCGTCCTAGTAAACCACCCCATGATTGTCATTTTACAATACGAGGAGGTCGTCTAATGGATGATGAGTCTTACCAACTACCTCGTGTTGTGTTAGTCTGTTCCTGTATGTAAGTAACTACCAAAAACATTTCTGGCTGATGTACCTTCTTATCCTCTTCGTCCATTCAGAATTAGCTGCCTTCTACTACCTTTAAATTATTTTAAAATTTAATCATTTACCTCATTTAGGTGACTTTTGGAAGAATTTTACCACTTTAGAATTTTTTTTAATCAATTTTAAAACTTATTTCTTGTAAGTAGATCATGCAAGGCTTTCATTCTACAGAACCATTTTAAAATTGATTTTAAAACTTAATCTTTTAAGTAGCTATAATTTTTACATGTGCATTTATCAATATTTAAAATAGAGCTTCATAGTTTACTAAAGCTAATGACTGGTCCCTTCTCTTTGTGTTACAATCAAAAGCGTCTGTTCGCTTCCAGAGCTCTGATTGGTTGCGCATTTTTTCACTTTGCAAAAAGTAGAAACAGTTCGAACTACTGATTACACTAAAATATATTCTGATAGAAATGTGAATGCACAAGCTCCTGAGCTGATGCTTTTGATTCACACAAGTAAGTTTGCCTATTGGAAAACAAGCTTCAGAAGAGATGCCTAAGCCATTGATACTGTGTACAGTATGGGCCATGTGAATGCTATAAAATGCAGTAAACTCTTCAGAAAAGAGCAGCGGCAAGGGATTGATTTTTAAACTTTCGAGGGTGATTCCTGGTGTGTTTCACTCTGAAAAGGAATTCAGTGCAATCCTGAGTGGAGGATTGTCTTTTCGTGGACAGGCAAATTACCACCATTGTGTGAGTAAGGAAGAAGATGATGATGATCATTAATAGTTATTATTGTGTGAGTAAGGATGATGATGATGATCATCATCATCATCATTAATAGTTATTATTGTGTGAGTAAGGATGATGATGATCATCATCATTAATATTAATTATTGTGTGTGTGAGTAAGGATGATAATGATGATCATTAATATTTATTATTGTGTGAGTAAGGATGATGATGATCATCATCATCATTAATAGTTATTATTGTGTGAGTAAGGATGATGATGATGATCATTAATATTTATTTGTGTGAGTAAGGATGATGATGATCATCATTAATAGTTATTATTGTGTGAGTAAGGATGATGATGATGATCATTAATAGTTATTATTGTGTGAGTAAGGATGATGATGATCATCATTAATAGTTATTATTGTGTGAGTAAGGATGATGATGATCATTATTAATAGTTGTTATTTCCTTTGTACATTTTCAGTCCACCTCAGTCTGGAGCACCTGCACTCTTAACACATGGAGTAAGTAATTTTTATAACATTGCATACTTCTATTGTATATAATTGCTCAACACAAAAGAATATATCTTTGCGAGTTGTTCTGGCATGATCATGAATACAAATAATAAATGTTTATGAGCGCAATGGGATGAATATTTTCATGAGTTGAAAGATATGAAAATATTCTTTCCATGATTGTGCAAGTAAAAAACATTATTTGTTTTATAACACACTTTAAATAGATTCTGGTCATTGGATATTTTATGAAAAAATGTACCCTTTTTCTAAATAGAACAGTCCAGCATCTCTTTAACCAATCAAAAGATTGTATTAGGCTGATTGATATCATATCCTAGGCACCGTGCAATGAGGAAAACGGTGGAAAGAAAATGCATGGGAGGAAATAATAATACACATTGAATTGGATTGATTTGTATTGGATTTATTCGGTGTAAGCACCAAGGATAGCCCATGAAAGTCTAGAAGAAGACTTGTTTCCAGTGGAGTCCTTCTGGTGGTGATTAGACAGTACACCGGGAAACAATCCCCTACTCTTTTCCGCAGAGTGTACTGTGTTCTTTAACGTGCACATGGGCCATAAATGCACACGGGACTAACGGCTTGAACGTCTCATCCGAAAGACAGTGCGCTATGTAACTTGTATTTCAGCCCTCTAGCTGAAACACAAGGAGAGGCAGCGATGGGAATTGAACTGGGGACCTAGAGATCTCCACGGTTCAGCGCACACACAGTGGCTACCACCAGATTAGCAGACTGAGCTAAGCTGCTCTCTCGTACTAAAACTAAATTTCCATGATGAATGACGAAATGGGGTAAATAACCAATGTCACGTGATATGAAATCCACCAATCAAATGACAGATTTATTTAGGTGTGTTATAAAAAAAATAATTGATTGGCATTAATCATAAAATCATTCAGTATTTATAAAAACATTTTTTTTTCAGATGATGGAAAACTTATTCCATGAGTTTGGTCATGGTATTCACTGTAAGTCTTTCTGTGTCATGTTTTGATTTAATTGACTCTTCCACTAGTTGATGTCATCATTTATCTTGAGCCATATTTATGCTTCTGAACCTGTTGAAAGTGTAAAAAGGAAAAACATTTATTTTTTATTGTGTTGATACCAATCACATTTGTTAATATGGTACTGTTAGAACTTTGACTGTATTGTATGAATGGATATTATACTGTTAAACCTTTTGATTGTATTGTATATGTGTGAATTTTTTACTCTACTCTACATGTTGATGTTGTACTGTGAGGCCACACAATATTATATTCTCTACCCACAGCCATGCTTGCTAGAACCAAGTTCCAACACGTGACAGGTACGCGGTGTGCTACAGACTTCGCAGAGGTGCCTTCTATTTTGATGGAGTTTTTTGCCAATGATTATCGTGTCCTCAAGAAGTTTGCAAAACATTACAAAACTCAGGAGGTACTGTACGTTATTTTTCAATTTCTGATTTGACATCCTAATTTCTTTCAATATTCATGTCTGGTAAGTTATAAATCACAAACACCAAGTATGGACATTCATTTTAGGGCAAGAGATTTGATCCAGTAAGTTGAGCCCCTATTGCCTCTTTCTGTGTACAAGACGGCATAGGTCGTATAGCTTGGAATGTTTATTCTTGCCTTGAAATTATTTCCTAGCAATTTTCATGTTGTATCCTCTTTATCCCTTTGCTTTCTTCACATTGTGTTCAAAAAAGATAACAATTTCCAACAACAAAAACATACATTAATTATGTACAGTCTCTAATTTAAGTTACCCTGAAATTATTTCCTAACATTTTTCATGTTGTACCCATCTTCTATCCCTTTGCTTTCTCCACATTGTGTTCGAAAAAATAACAATTTCAAGGAAAAAAAACACACACTAATCTCTGATATAGTACTGAAAATTATTAATTCTGGTTTCTTTTAACATCACTTCAGTAATCTGTAATTTCATATTTTAATTTGTGAAAAGTACAGTCTGTTCCCCTAAGTATCTAGTTTCCTCAGTTTATTTCTTCCCTTTCCCACTTTTCCAAACATTAATGTTTTGATTCCAGATAGTTTGTAGAAATTTGTAGAAATCAATTATAGTGCCACCAATACTGATATTAACATGTTTTTAATTTTAGACTTTGCCAGAAGAAATGATTTCAAAACTTTGTGCTTCTAAGAAGATGTTTTCAGCATATGAAATGCAGACACAAGTTTACTATTCAATTCTAGATCAGATGTTCCATGGTAACCACCCCCTACAGAAGGTATTTTTATTGAAGACACAACTTGTTCAGTGAAACCAAAAAGTATAGAATAGCAAGAGGTTTGATTGTCGAGGTTCCCTTGAAGAGGAATCCTATCCAAGAAAGAACTACCTCAAACTAGAGGATGTCCTTCAATAGAATGTAAAAGGCGTTCATATCGAACACATGTTTATAGAACGCATGTTCGAGTTTCGAACTTTATTAAATTCAATATGGCGCCCCCTATCTTGTGGTAGAACTTTGCATATCGTTTCATTGCGTGCATGCAAAATAAGGATAATCGGACCTCTTGCAATACTATACTCTTTGGTGAAACCCTCAAAAATTCAAAAGTAAATAAGTTAGCAACACAGATGAAGTTATTTTTTAATTATTTTAACTTTTTACTACAAAAATCCTTCAATTAATTTTAAAGGTCTGTGCAAAGAATATTGGAAAGGTATTTTATGTATCATAATTGGTAATTGAAACCTTTTCTTATGATATTTAGAAGCTGATAATTATAAGTTTATTAGGTCTTCACAATATATCTAAATCTTTACGATGTTATTCAATATTTAGACTATTATCATGGCTCATCTTAATTATTTTTTCCTTTTTTAATATTCAGAGCACAACAGATATTCTAGCTGATGTTCAAAATAACTTTTCTTGCTTGTCACATGTTCCAGGAACAGTAAGTAATTATTTTAAACAAAACATCAATTTAGTTTCTTTTTTTTTTTTTTGTTAATGAATTGGATTAATGAATTGGAATATTGAAATTAATTATTACTGTTTTCTTTAAATCATAGGCTTGGCAGCTTCGATTTGGACACCTTGTTGGTTACGGTGCTAAATATTACTCGTATGTACTCTCAAAGGCAGTGGCCACCAAGATATGGAGTCAGTGTTTCGCTCAAGATCCATTTTCAAGGTCCGCAGGTGAACGATTTAGGAAGGAGATGCTAGCAAGCGGAGGTGGTAAAGATCCAGCCACATTAGTAGAAAGTATGTTATTGTAAATGAAAAAAGTATTCATGTTTTTTTTTGTTATAGTGATAGTTTTCTTTGTTGAAAATTTTTTTTGATTGTTTAAATTGTTGAATGTTGATTGTGATGGTGGTATTTTTTTTAGATTTAATCCTAAAGCTTTACTATTGCAATACAGCAACTAGGATGATGATGACAAAAACGATGACGATGAGGACGATGACGATGTCAAGGAAGACGATGATGAGGATGAAGATGATGATGTAGCTCTATAACTTTATAAACTCCTCAAATCAACCATAAAAAATATTGCTATAGGTGGGTAATTCCGTGTCAAATCAACCAGAGGTCCCAGGTCGACCATCTCCAATTTTCATGAAACTTCTTATAAATGATCCACTATGTGAAAAATCAAAATACACAAAAGATTAGCCCTACTGGATATGTAGTTTCCGAGATATTGACGCCCGAAAAAAGGGGCGTGGCTCTTCAAGATTCGCAAATGCAATTTCCTCCAACTTTGGAAGCTTACAACTCAGGATTGATAATAGCTATCAAGGTCAAACTTGGTATTCTAACTTATATTCCTCCATATCACACAAATATGGCATCAGATTATCTGTTATCTCTTCTCTTTTGAAGTTACCTGCACTCAAAATAGCCACTTTGTTTAAAGATGCAATTTTTTTGTGATTTTCAATGTCACCCTGTGTCCATATGAGTGAGTGTATACATCTTAAATTATAGATATATTATCTATGGGTAGTTGCCTCTAGCCACCAGCAAGCACAGGCTGATCAAATGAATTAAAATGGAATGGCATCCATTCAAAGTTGGGACCAGCCCTCAAAAAGTGAAAAAAGCCTATGTTTCCCATTAACGGTTCGTCATGTGGACAATTAAAATCTTTTCTTAAATTTACACCAGTTAACCAGATATATTAGATCTACTTATACACCAAATTTCAGCTTTGGTTCTCAGCTCCTTCATGGTTAGATACTATGTTGAAAACTACACATATTGTAACATAATCGGAAATAACTAAATTTTTTAAGAGTTAGGTAATTCCATGCCATGGGATCATAGATTTTTTAAATTTTTTATACTGACAGTTATTCATGTGAATTGAAAAACCTAAAATTTTTAGACTCAAATTCCTGTTTGTTTTCCCATAGCGGCAGTTTGATGTAAAAGGGGGCGTGGCACAAATTAATCCACTGTGAAATTAACTTTGATTTTCTTATGCTAATATCTTTGGAAGTATAGCACCTATAACCTTCAGAGTTTGTGGTGTAGGACATCTTTTGCTGCTGATTCCAAATCTGCAATCAGAAAAGTTGTAGCATGTACCATTGTGGAATAGCAATGGTCTAAAAATTCATTTCATCAGCCCGTGCTTGTTGGTGGCTAGAGGCAACTACACATAGATAATATATCTGTAATTTAAGATGTATACACTCACTCATATGGACACAGGGTGACATTGAAAATCACAAAAAAATTGCGTCATTAAACAAAGTGGCTATTTTGAGTGCAGATTACTTAAAAAAAGAAGGGATAACAGTAAATCTGATGCCATATTTGTGTAATATGGTGGAATATAAGTTAGAATACCAAGTTTGACGTTGATAGCTATTACCAGTCCCAAGTTATAAGCTTCCAAAGTTGGAGGAAATTGCATTTGCGCATCTTGAAGAGCCACGCCCCTTTTTTGGGGTGTCAGTATCTCGGAAACTACATATCCTATAAAGCTAGAGAGTCAGAAATTTGACTTTCGGAAAATTGGGTTTTTGTAAGACGGAATGGGCGGTTTGGCATTTAGCAGACTGGGTTTCGGCAGGGCAAAATTTGAAAATTGGCAATTTAGCTTTCGGCAAACTGGATTTCAAAAGAATGGAGTCAGCAATTTAGCATTCGTCAGACTGTTTTTGGAAATGCTGCAAATCTGATTTCGGCAGACCTGTCCGATACCCGACATGTGTACTACATAGTCTCTATTTAAGCGCGATCCTTTTTTTTTTTTTGCGCTAGACGTACCGGTAAGCAATCAAAGAACAGCGTGTGACGTTCAGCATCACACGTGTTTTGAACAGGGACGTCCGATTCTTGTTATGTTGTTATCTAGCTTCGGTGGCATTAACTTTCTACCTGCAGGCGACATGAAAACAAGATATTTGGAATTTGACAGAATAATCAAAACATACGCTTTAAAACACACTAGCACTCGTTATTATTGCTATTTTTTATCGTTATCATCAGTAGACCTTGCTCTACAGTAATTTAAAATACAGATCAACACGTTTGCAAAAAAATGTCGAAAGTCATTGGGGGGGGGGGGGCCTTTCATCGACAGCAATTGTTGCAAACCTCTGGGTAATTTGTAATTGGGGATGGGGTATTTAGCCAACTAGGCCTGATAAATGTCTCTAGTCATATGGATCTGTTGCACGAAGCACGATTTGATCTGTCTCTTATACACATCTAGATGTGTATAAGAGACAGTCTTAAGACTGGTACTGTATATATGTGCTATATGAAGCTACATTACATGTGTCTGTACTAGTGGATGGGTAAAAGCAGCATCTTCATAAGCAATTAGTTACTTGCAATCTTAAAGAGGCTTATGCAAAGGAGACCAACCCAGACAAAGTTGGTTTTCCTAAATTTGAAGAATTGCACCCAAAAGGCTGTGTGTGCTAGCAGGAGCAAGTGGGATGCATTCAGTTTTGTATGCACAATCCATCAAAGGAAAAGTATTATTCACTGGAGCAAGGTTGTGGAGAATTTAAACATTGCATTACTGCCTTTCAGCTATTCAGTGCAATCTTCAACACAGTAATTGCTTTCTTAGCAGCGTGAAGCATGTCAAAGATGATTGATCGGGTTGAATATAAAGAGTGGATTTCAGCAAATTGCTCAAATCTTGACATTAAAGTTCCAACTGTTTCAAACTTTGTTGACTCACTAATAAGTGTCTTAAAAATTATTACCCCACGATTTCATTCAAAAAAAAGAAAAGCTGCTCATGCTGCATTAACAAAAACAAGTAACAGCATTTTGACATTGATTTGAAATTTATAATAAATGATTTATTCCATAATTTTCTTTGGTGGTGCATCTGTTCATGTTTTATGGTATAAAGTGATCATTGTAATCAAAATTAACATGTTTCTTAAAAATCTTATGATTGAGTGTTTAACTTTATTCTGATTTAATTGATGATACAATTTCTTTTTTAATTTCGCTGATTTTCGAAATGGTATGTGTTAATTGCTCACTTCTCAGGAACTTTTAGGGTGCCCATCAGCAACTTTATTATGAAGCTTTTTATATTACATTGTAACTCAACTTCAGCACCTAAAAAAAAAAAAATTTGGTGTGCTGTTGCTAATAATTTAGAGGAAATTATCTGTGTTAGTATGTACAAAAGGTGCAATTTCGAATGAACATGCCATATATAATTGCTCACTGCTTAGGATGTTTTACAACGCCCATCTCCAAATTTATTGGGAAGCTTCTTTATATCATAATGTATCTCTAGCATGAATTAGAAGGGAAAAAAAACTATAAATTTCTTGTATGCAACTTTGAAATTTACAATCTGTAATAACTATTTTATGGTTAAATTGAGGAGTTACCATTTATTTAGAAAGTTATAAAGCTACTCAATAGCTTTGAAGTGAAACCAAAATTAGATCAATAGGTTCTATACTTACCGAGATATGATCAGTTAAACGTGCAATGTATCGCTAATTAGCCCAAATTTTGTTAGCACGTATCTCACTAATTTCATTTCTGATCATTCCTCATGGAGGTCCAATAACATACATGGAATTTGACATGAAATTGCCCTTTTGTAATTAAGACAATTACAGCAATGATTGCTACAACAGGGACCACAATTTTAGTGGTAGTGATGATAATAATGATAATATATACTACAATGGGAAAAATATACAAAAGATTGCAATGATAGTAATGATCATAATCATAATTAAAAGGAAATGTTGGTCTTAGCTATTTTTAATATGCATGCTGATAATTTCATTTTTTGTAGTATAGACTATACAGTATTTGTTATACTGTCTATATCTGGTCTTCCTGGAAATCAGGATAAATTATTAAAACATTCTTTCTTTCTTTTCCAGATATGCTTGGCCACAAACCCACAAAAGAGGAATTAGTACAATCGCTGTTGACTGGACTTTGACCTTTTCTTCACTGAAGGATGATAGAAATAATATATCAATGAAGATTTTGATTAATTAAAAGTAAATCTCCCATATATGGAACACTAACTGAAAACAATAATACAGTTTTAGGCAAGCAATTATATAACCTGAAAATGATGTAATTTTCTGTTGAATCAACACCCATAGATGCTCTTTTACTGGTACCTAGGATCACTCGACTTCTTCCTCTGATAAAAAACTCCCCTTTAAGGAATTGTGGTTTTTGGATTCAAATATTCTTATTGTGGACAATGCATTTTTTGTATCAGGGCACAGGTGGCGGATCCAGGGGTAGCAAAAGGGTCGCTCATCACTCTCCCCCTCCCCTCCCTCCTCCAGCAGGGACCAAAAATAGAAACTCTGGAGCTTTGGGGAAAACGCCCTGAACCCAGCAATATAAAGAAACACCACAAAAAAAAATCCTGTATCTGCCAACTGCATAGGATAACATATCAAATTAACCTTTTACATGGAGACAAGAACAAATCAGTTCAGGGCTAAGGGTCAAAATTGAGAAGATTGGTTTATTTAAAGTGAAGTAACAGTATGGCGAATGTAAATTACATCAAATTTCCCTTGACCATGTAACACCAAACTGGAACTATATAAGGATAGGCCTATACCAATATTCATCAAGAAAAAATGTATTAATGTCCTGGTTTATAGCTCAAAAGACTTCAAAATAAAGATTTTAATGACATTTTACTTTTAGTGTATTTATATTTGTTGTGAAATTATACAAAAAAGATCCCCCTTAATAAGGGGTAAATGCTTTTTTGAATTGACTACACTTGGGGGTGTCCCAGTCCCCTTCATTGTGTGTAATATTAAGATATATTTCACACATTGGTTTGCTGAAGAGTGTCCCAAAGGAGGGGGCTGTACATTAAATTCATTAAAATTAGAACACGGTGGGAAAAGTGTGGCCCGCGGGCTCAAAAATAGATTAAAAACCCTATGAGTGAGGCACGCCAACCATCTTTGGCTAGAAAACACCTTGTTTTTTACAGCCCGACACTGATTATCTATAAAATGTAATATTAAAACTTACATAAAGCGGTATAAAAGAAGTGTATGAAGGTTTTTTAACATCAAATTTGGGTGCGGTTCCTCTGTGTTAAATCAAAAATTCATTTTGGCCCTCGGACCCATTTTCATGCCCACCCCTTATTTAGAAGTAGGCTAAAGATGAGATGCAATTTATTCATAGTCATGTCAATATCTATGTGGCTGCACGTTCCTGTTAACCAAAACTACTGTGCTGAGTGAAACATAACAGAAAGTACTGTATTGTGGCCAGCTCAGTTTTGAGTAGTTCTTCAAACGTTTGCATTGTTAAACCTAATATACAGTATATCCACAACATTTTTAGATTCTCTATCAGGACATCATATATTGTCGGAACAAATTTTAACATTTGTAAGTTGAGGAAGAGAATTCGATGACAATTTCACTGATTACAATGAGATCATAACCTGTCAATCAATCGTCGACGCAGGAAAGGCAAAATGCTAAGCATATAAAACGTGAGCAAACGATTACTGTGTATAAGAAGATAACGTTAACATTATGTAGCAGCAGCGTTTTATTACGTTATGTATACGTAATTGCTGTCTCTTATACACATCTAGATGTGTATAAGAGACAGGTAATAAACTAATTATATTTGTTATAGGGCCTTAGTGACAACTATACCGCTGGCTACCATCGCCAGTGCTACGCACGATTTACCGATAAAGATGCAAAGTAGAACGAGCAAGAAAAAAACTTTAATTTAAAAAGAAATCCAGACAGGTATTTGTATAGACTAGGCCAGGCCTACTTAATTTAGAGAAGGGGCATATGCCTACTACTCAGGCCCGGCCCTTAATTGTTAAGGCCTGCCTATACTTGTCATTTCTATACTAGCTAGGGCCAAGCCCTACGTACTAGCATTGGATATGGCAGCCTATGAACTAATTTAATTAAGAACATTTGTATTATAATTATTAATTAAAATAATGATATTATTATATTATTATTATTAAAATAATAATATTATTAAATTATTATTATATTATGGTTATTGAAGTATTTTGTGTAAGCCATTTCGGCTCTTAATTGAATTAATATAACGTACGATATAAAATATCAAATCATGTTTTGTGTATTCTACAATATGGCACAGTGGTTCTATGTATATTAAAATCGCCAACAAGTGATACCATTCTATAGTGTATCATTTTCCTCTGTACCTTTTCCAAGTTGGCATATAAGGTTTGTAAATATTGAATATTTGAGGATGGTGGTCTGTAAAACACACCAATGAGAATCTTGCCAATACCTGTGTGACATTCTACCCATACCAATTCAAGAGTACTATCGTTAAGATCATGGCATTCTGAAGGCTGTAAGGATGTTCTTAAAGCGATTAATACTCCACCACCATGAGAATTTCTGTCTTTCCTGAACACTGTATAATCATTATTAAAAAGTTGACTATCATATATTGAGTCATCAAGCCAGGTTTCTGAAAAAGCTATGATGTCATAAAATAAGGAACTAAATCTGGCATTTATGTCACATAATTTGTTTTTAACACTTCTTATATTGCAATAGAATATATTAAGCTTATTACTGTTAGAATCAAACTTGGAATTTATAATATTGCTTGCATCAAAGGATTCCTGTATAGTATTATCAAAAGCATCTATAATGCTATTAACCTCTAGCACAACATCGTCAGTATTTTCATTAGTGTTCATTAATTTAGTTGAATCTTGTTCACATTCTTTTCCCTGTGTTTTTACTTCGGCCGTTTCCTTGCCAACATTTCAATTTCGAACATCTTGAGCTTGACAGTGCTTAGCTTTGTGTCCACTTTTGTTGCACCTCCAACAGATTTCTGGTTTAGCGTGGCGACAGACCTTACGCGTGTGTCCACTTTCTCCGCAATAATGGCAGTGTACATTAGAGTACGAGCGTCTGTCCTCTAACCTCTGCTTTGCCTTATATGGGAAAAGTATAGGCACAGTTTCATTTATACTGTTTATCAAAGCTGATGTTCCGTATTTGTTGAGATGTAGACCATGTGATGTAAACTTAACAGACTTGATCCCTTGTGCTGAAGTGAAGGCTAATGTGTGGTCTATGAAGTATTCACCATAGATGGATTGAAGCATCTTGTTTGCTTGAAATACCCGATTATTTATCTCTGCATCATCTAGACGTGGACATATACTTGAAATATAGATGTGTCCTTTCATTTTAAGGCTCAGGTGATTCATTAGAGTATTATAATCCCCTCTTAGCCTATCCAAATGGAAATCCACTTCACTGCAATCGTTGGTACCAACATGTAATATAACATTTTCCAAATTGCTGAGATCCATTTCACTTATGGTATCACAAACTTGTTTAACATTAGCACCTCTCAATGTCCTAACTGCTGTTTCACATAAGCCTTTGGTCTTAATTAATTTCAGCATTGAATCGCCAATGATTAGATTTCTTTTCTGAGAGTTTATGTCTACACGTCTATTATCAATTTCTGGCTTAGGAAAATCAAATGTTTGATTCAAACCTACTTGCACTGGTGCTTTCAATTGCTCATTTTCCAACGTACCTGCCTCACAATCATCAACACGTAGGACATCGAAAGAGTTCTGTAGTTTAATAGGTTGTGATTGTGACTTGCATTGTTGAAAAATACTTCTGTGGTGAACTTGTGTCTGATATTCCCTTTCCTTCAATATCGCTTGAAGACTGATAATCTGCGTTTCTAGTGTAGAATTTCGATCACACAGATCCTTGAAAGACGATGTCAAGTGAACAAAGTTTGAGTTGATATCATGGTATTCTTGTAATTTTCTCTTAGAATCAGCAAGTTTATCTTCATAACTTTTAATTTTGTTCTTCAGCGACAGTGTCTGATCCCAACTATTTGGTGTTTGAATTCCTATGTCAAATGTCTTCATTATAACTGTCTGAGATGACGAAATCACTGTTTGAAATTCAGATTTCATTCGTGATCGAATCACTTGTTTTGCACCGCAGTTAGGCCTTACTGGTGTTGAGGTCATAGGAGATATAGAAAAAGATGTTCCTGGGTAAAATTTTGATTCTTCATCCAAAGAACCATAAAAACTTGATCCTTCAACTGTGTTGTCTAAAACCACAGAGGCTAAGCCCTTGCTCAAATTTACCATGATGCTTTATTGAGACTTAAAAAGCTAGCAGATCAATAGAATAGTCTCAATAAACAGTTTGTAGAGAAGCTTACAAGCTACAGTGCTTGGCTTAGAAAAATGCTATCTATAACTGCTAAATGCAAAAAACTTCACCTTAGTCTTCCAAAGAAAATGCCACAGTCATGATCAGTACATATTCAGCTAGACATTGATATGAATTTCACCATCATGTGTATCCTTTTGTAAAAGGAAATTTAGTTTTTTATGGAGACCCTCCAGGTTGCTTGCTTGCTTGCCCATGCATCCACACACCTCTTGGTTAATTGTTGTTGTTGTTGATGATAATGATGATGATGATGATAAACGCTATATAAATCCAGAATTATTATTATTATTATTATAAAGATGTTGATGACTGATGATCCAACCCAATCCAATCTTAGACTTATAAGACGCATTATACAGGTCTCAATGCGCCAAGTTGAGGGACTGCTCAGGGAAAAAAAAGGGAGCAAATTGGGAAAATGGTACTCAAGGGAGAAATCAGAAAAAAGAACAGACGAAAATAGACAAAGAGCATTAGAAAAAGGCAGAAAGACAGAAAGAAAATAATAAATGGAGCTGAAAAGGGCAAAATGATGATGATAACGATGATGGTGTTGATGGATGATGTTGACGGAAATGGTGATATCGACGATGATGATAAATGATAGCGACGATAACGATCACATTATGAAAGAATCGTCATAGTCAACCATCTGGAGGGTATCAGCCGAAATCACCATCATGTCACTTTTTTGTGCAGACACAGAAGTCACATTACACTTGTTCAAGCTGAAGTTTTTACAGTACCGGTATATACTTTCTTCATAATATATATATATATAT